TGTATTAATATTATTTTCGATACACAATTTTATATTTTCTGTTGGTCACGTACTGGCACATCTACACCACAATGGTGCGAAAGAAAGTTGGATAGGAGAAAACTTAAAAAGGCAATACTGCGAGAAAATTATATACTTATTAAGAGAAAAACATTATTACAATGTCTCGTGTTCATTACATTCCAACAAGAAGATTTAACAATACAACAATGCAGTATGGTAATGCAGTCGCACCAACGAAATCGAAGCAAATTTACTTTAACAACTACGACTATATATGAAAAAAAGAAAAACCATGTTTCTTCAGATACTGCAGCAAGATGAGAATGTGAAATATATTTTGCTGCCATGTGCTAATGTTCTTTTGGCTTTGGAGCAAATATTCTGGAGTGCAACGTACAGCGATAAAAATCACCAGCGCCCGTACAAATTAAACCTTCTTGAAATAAAGATTTAGTTTGTATAACTCAAATATATGATAAATTCTTGAAGATATTTTAATTTATTACAAGTTTATGTTCTAAGTTTGTACGTAAAATATACTAAGAAACAATCAATTCATTTCACAGTAAATCCATTACCAGACTATATTGACCTCTGAAATGAGTTATACAAAAACTGTTCAAAATACAAACAACCCTAGTGCTCAGCACAATAGATATTTTTGCCAAAATGGAACAAAATTTTTAATGCAGCAGACAAGTAATATTCCCAAACACATAGTTGAATTTAATTAAGAATGCTCGTAATGTATATTAGATTATCAGGATTAGTTTAGTTTATGAGATTTCAGGTTCTCACGGTGGCCAGTGTGATAAAAATGTCTCTCTTCTAGGTTGCTACACCGATCAGTCTAGTACAAGTTTAGCGATGTTTCACTCATTGTACTGAAATTGAGGCAGCAGGAACTTCTGAAATGTAATATAAACTTCTACCAGGATAAGCGGCACAACAAACCAGAAGACAGTCATCCTCTTAATTTACTCTGTTAGAACTGGTAAGAGATCGTTACCGCTTGGTCTTAATACGGCGGATAACACCTTTTCTAGTTAACTGATACTGGTAATTTGTGGGCACCGAAGGCTATGGAAATAAATTCTTAGTTTTCATCCCCAAGAGGACTGCGATCTGTCGGTTGTCAATAGCTGGGACCAATTACTACTAGTCGCTTATTCTCGGGTGTTCCCGATTACAGGCTGCGGGGACTTGGGTTAACCACCTTGTCTGCGTTCAGAAAGTTTTCACAAATCGTCGCGGTTGTCACCTTCAGCATACGATCTTTGCAGACGCTACTGGTTGGTCGAAGAGTAAAGGGGGTGGCGTGATCGTCACTGTCAATATCTCTTAAATCTTTCGATATCGTGCAACACGCCACTGTTCTCTAAAGTCTTCGAATTCGCGTCCATTCTCATGCCATGAAACTGATCGAAAACCAATACCAAGGAACATACACTAAATTAAGACATGGCACCTCCATTAAAATCGCAAAACGAGCCAGGTAAGTACATCTCCTATTCCATTAATATTCTATCTTGTAATTTACCTTCTTTGAACAGTATTAATAACTACTGTGACATATCAGAGATCATTAAACACATTCGTGGGACTTTCGCTTTTGTATATGATAGCAATGACTGTGTCTAGCACGGATGGGTCAATGGTTTAGGCTCAATACTTTAGATAACGGTTTACATAAATGTAGGCTGGTTGCATCCCCTAAGAATTCTTTCGCTTTTAAGGACATTACCAAGGAGAAAACTTTCTCTATTGTCGATTCCTGGGAATATTTATCAGAATGATGTTCACATTCGGATACATGACGTTTGGGAACCAGAAACAAACAAACAAACGCGCATTGGGGATATCCCTGATTACACGGACAACGCTATCTGAAATTCCAAAGGTATTACAATTCATTCGCGTCACATACCAGAATGATTACAGTAAACGGCAGACTCTCTAGTCTTCCAATACAACAAAGATTAACATAAGAGGATGTACGAAATATCCTCCATCAGTGGCGTCCTTACCCACTGTCGGCACCAATTTCAACAGTATTAACAGACTGCTAATAAAACTTATCAAGATGGTGGATCTCCGGCAAACTCTGCCTTCGAGTATTTATGACCCATCAAAGAAGACCAGGCCCTAGCGCAAGGTACACAAAACATTCAATGCGAGCGTGCGAAGGCGGTGTAAGTTCGGTATGCATGATCGACGCGAGGGACAATGCAACATACGAGGTGCGATCGGAAAGTTTCAAGACTGTGTCAATAGCGGGCGAACCGGATGTAGTACGAGCTTCTGACTTTAGGGGGTGCGGCCTACATTCATAGTGAATCAGT